AAGATAATTATAAAATAAATAAAATTATAATAAAATGTAATTTTTCATAATTAAGGAAAGATTAAGGAATTAAGAAATTTTATATTACTATGATAATATTATATCTCATTAATATTACTATTAACATAAATCATATTTCTGCTCTTAATTATATATCTTCCATTAATATCAATATCACGTGTTTATATCTCATTGATATTAATATTAATATAAATCATATTTTCATTCTTAATCATATTCCTCCTATTAATATTAATATTACATATTTATTACTGATAAATCAATTTTTTAAACTATAAAACCTCACACTTTATGGGTAATTGTCTATTTTACATTATTCACATATCCAGTTGTATAACATGTTTATATATTCTATTGTACATCTCTTTTGTATTATAAAATTTATATGTCATATACTTTGTTATAAATTTACACTTCTCATTATCAAATTAAAAAATTTTGATTTCTACTATTCTTACACTTCTTCCTATATATTAAATGACTTCTAACATTATAAATTCATGGCAAATAATAACTATGGTAACAATGATAACAGGAATATGATAATGATAATAATAATAGTAATAACTATAGCTATGAAAATACTAATAATATGAACAAATCAGAATGATCATGAAAGAAGTAAATGTACTTGACTATAAAATCCAAATAAGAAATATGCTAATAAAAACAAGTCAACTCAACTCTCACTATTGACCAACTTTCTAAGAAATACAATTGTGATAGGAATACAGATTCAAAGATTTTAAAATCAAAGAATAAATAGTTATCCATGTAATTGACAGAACTTGAATAAAAAAAATAGTTAACAGATCAGTAAAGTTCACACAATTAGAAATTACTTTGAGCACCTAAATGTAACAGATTTTTTTATAAAATATGATTCTGACAGATAGATTGTTACAATTATAGGCAAAGAAATTTATCAGATTGTTGAATATTTCTAAGAATGATTTTAAAATGAGTAATAGTTGGCTTGATAATTTTAAAAAATATCATAATATTTGGCAATTTAGAATTTACAAAGAGTCTAAGAGTGTCTTCATCAAGAATCTTTCTAAGTAAAAGCAGCAATTAATCAAATTACTCTCACAATACAGACCAGAAGATATCTATAATGCTGATAAAACTGGTCTTTTTTTTCAGATAATATCTAATCAAATACTTGTAACAAAGTCAGTTAAAGAAAAAAAGAAAGACAAGAAGCAAATAACCATCCTATTTTATATAAATGCAACTGATACAGACAAACTTAAACTACTAGTTATTGGAAAGTTAGCAAAGTTCTAATGCTTCAAGAATATTTGAAAAGAAAATTTCAGTATCAAATACAAAGCTAATAAGAAAGCGTGAATGACTAATGAGATTTTTAGATATTGAATAAAGTCTCTGAATGCTACCAACTGACTTGATTATAGGAAAATCTTGATTTTGGTTAATAATACTGCTTCTTACATAGTTAGTAAAGAATTAAAGCATGTTAAAGTCCATTTTCTACCACCCAATACTACATCTTATTTACAACTATGTGATATTAAAATAATTAACTTGTTCAAAGCTTATTACCAAAAGTTATATCTTTAAAATATTTTAGAAGCTATAGATGTTAGAAATGAAATATCCTATCTGAATGTCAAGAAAGTAATTGATTTTAGTGCAAAAGTATAAAGAAACATAATCTTCCAGATAATTATTAATTACTAACATAAAACTGAAATAGTACTATTGGTTAAGTAAAGTTGATCAAATTCAGATATACAATATATTGAAGAGAATTCAAGATCAAAAGCTGATATTCAACAACTTATTTTGAGTATTCCTACTAATATTATGCAAGTAATGATGGCTCACAACTATATTCATCTTAATGATATTATTAAAATAGAAGAGATTACTATAAATGAAGAAGTTATTATCAAAGAGATTTTTTAATCATCTAATCTTGATAGTGATGAAGATAATGAAATTAAAATTAAGAAAATTTCTTATTCTGTTACCTTAAAGTAATATAAATTACTATTGTTATATATGGAACAACAAGATTTGGAAAAATTTGTAGAGAAACAAGACTTGCCAAGATTGTAAAATTTATTATAACACATTCAAATGAATGTATTCCAGATGAAATAACAAAGAAAAGTGACAAATTTTTTTATTGAAGAATAATCATAAGTTTTCTAGCAAGAAAAGAAGAGAATAGAATAAAGAAAAGCTTGAGAGAGAAGCTTTTATCAAGCAAAATAAAGAGGTAATTAGATCAAATATAAGGAATTATATATGTATGAGCTTCCAAGACTTCAAAAAAGTCTTATAATGATAATAATAAATGGATCACAATAAATATCACATTTTATATAATGCTAATAATACAGACTAATAATTACATGTGATTTTCTAAATCCTAATCCTAACTCTAATTCTAACCCTTATAGTTATTAACTCTTGCATATATCAATTAAATAGTCTGATCCCATGATATTAATAATAATGAGGGATGATTGTATAAGAAATCTCTAAAAGAAGATTAATATACCATGGCTTGGATTTTTGTGTGAGAGACTTTCATTCTCCAAAAATATACTTGTATATAGCAGCAAAAAATAGTTAATATTGAAGAAAAATTAATTCCTAGCTATTCAGCAAAATGTGTAAAGGATCTATTATAGAAAGAAAAGATAAAATAGTATTATTAATATGTGATAAATTATAATAAGATAGATGATGTAAAATTGCTATTCTAATATAAATTTATTCAGATCAATCAGTGACAATAGAAATAATATATTCTTTCTGAATATACTGCAAAAATTAAAAATTGATTAATATTAATCTTAATATTTTTATGTATATATATTAATATGTTAAATTTTTAATAAAAATTTTTACCTATAATATAGATGGAATATTTTTAACAATATTAATAGCCTTAAGATATGCATCCAAAGAATGGAGATTATTTTTTGTAAGTCTATAAGAATTACATCTTTCATTAAATAAGCATCTTGTTTTTCTTTTAGTCTAATATCATAACTATATATAGTTAATTTTTCTAATCTAGTATTTTCATTAATCATATAAAATCTCTAATATTGATTATATGAAAGACCATAAGGCTTTATAAATCTTCTCATTATCATATTTATTTTAATTAATTTAGCATCAATAAATGCAGGATTGTGTATATTTATTTTTGGAATCACACTTTGTGTAGTGATTAGATTTATTAGAATTATTACCAAATACATAGCAATAGATGTAGTTATTGTATTTGATATTTATTCTGTATGAATACTATGATAATCATCAATATTTAAAATCATTACTTTCTCTGCATATTCTGCAAGTATAGAATTAATAGTTTTAATATGATTATCAGATATATTAGTCTTATGCTGTTAAATTGTATGAGATATTGTAGTCACACCCAAATTAGCAAGAGTATCTAAAGATGTATTAGAAGTACTAGTAGAATCTAAGTATATCATCAAATCTCACTTAGTATTATTAATGAACTTATTCTGAATTTCACAAAGAAAATAGCATACAAATAGAAGTTATCTTTTTACCCATTTCTGTGAATCTTTATTTTTTGAAGAAGGGTTAGATGAAAAATATAATTCATCAAAAAATATTTTTAACCTTGCATCTTCTATCTTCATAACTATCTGAAATTCATCAAAGAAATATAATGTTGATTTTTTTTCTTTATTTTCATGAGTGTACAAGATATTTGTTATCTTTTCTATTGCTTTAGAAAAGAATAAAGTGATATTAATATTAATACTTTCAGCCTTATTGATCTCTTCAGTCTCTTCAAACTCGTAATTTATACTATCTTGAGTATGTTATTGAAATTCAGATGCAATATTTATTATGATTCTATTGTAACAGTTCATATAAATAGTATCACCTATTTGAAAATAACTTGGAAGAGTAATGTTAGCTTGGCCTTTTATAAAAATATTTTCAGTTATCTTTCTCCATTGGAATGACTGTCTTTGGCAAATAGTAATGACGCATGGATTGCTAATAGGCATATTTTCTCTTATATGTAAAGTATCTTGAGATTTTTGATTATTTTTTGATTATTTTAAGTGGTGTGTTTTAAAGCTCTTTTGAAACTAAAAATAAAGTTTTTTTTTACTTTTACTAGTGATAACACCGTGTCCTTAAAAAAGTACTCTAAAATGTATAAATAATATGCAAATTCAATTGAATTTGATTGGCAAAATCAGCTAATTATATGAATGTCGTCCTATGAGTTTGGCGTAATAAAGTCCAAGTTAAGCAAAGTGATGTTACATTTATTCTTTAAATTATATGTATTATTTATTTATGCTTTTAACTATATATGGGCTAAGTTTCATTTACCTGTGGCGTCTATATTGCTAAAAATTCCACGATTCGTATTTTCGTCCTAGTGATGCATTACTTTTGTGCGCCACTGTAGGGGTCCACTAAAGCCGGGTAGTTTCACGTGACATAGAATTCGATCCGGATCGTATCATGTGAAAAGTAATTATTGGCTGAACATATTATCGGATAATAATTGCGAACAAGATAATTAAAATAGCGAACACAAAGCATTGACAATAATTAAGGAATACGGAGACATTATAGCAAACGTATAATAATAGTTACATATATGTAATTGTTTAAAATTGTAAATATAAAAAACTTGTTCAACTAATTGTATTCGTGAAATGTCAAGATAAACTTCTGCATTACAAATTTAATATTTTTTATTATTAAAAACTGGGATCATATTAGAGTTGTGGGTTTGTGATACAGGGGTCTTGTATACTGTATGCTCATTACAATGGATTAATAACGACGATAATAATAAAAATAATAATTAGAATCTCATTTATAGGTTTTCTATATCACCTAATAATGCGACTAACAATTAAACTCTAATTATAAATAATTATTTGCAATAAAAATAAGAGAAAGGAATAAAGAAATGAATCAATAGTTCTCTAAACTTTATATGGTTTTGTTGCTTCTTGATAAGAAGGCGGCGGCGCTTCCATCATATAAGTTTCTGTTTGGGTTACGGTATTGGAGTTTAAATGATTGCTTTCGACTTGTGGTTTTCGATTATTTGTGGATGATTGTTGTTTTGGTAATGGTTTTTGCTGTGGTTGTGTCTTTTCAGTAGTTGATTGACCAGAGATAGCATCAGCAATTAATTTAACAATTGTCTTAAAGATAATATGTCTATCTTCGCGTTTACTGTTACGACGGTTGTTACGCTGGTGACAACGACGGTGGTGGTGTTTGCACATTCTTTGTTTGATAAATTTGATTTTAATTTGTGGTAATGTTTGTATAAAATATTGTAATCCTGGATTTTTTAAATTCATCAGGTTCAACAAAATAACTTTGTATTTATACATGTACTTGCGAGTCGCAGCAAATTATCTTGGCATTCTTCGATCTCAAAATGGAATTTTCTCATCCGACATATATTCCATTTATGAACATACATTAAAAAGACGAGTTTTTCTGAATGGTAGAACATATTCTAGCAATAATTAAACTTGCTAGCAAGAATTTTATACATGTATCAACAATTTTTTCTTGACAGAATAATCCATGTAAATGCAATGACATCGCCTAGACCTAGCATTATAACAATTCAAATGTATGTACGTCCTCTATAACTCATAGATAAGCTAAAAAGTGCAGGATATTCGTTCTTTGGATTTCGTTGTTATGTTAAACCAAAAAATGCTTAAGTTGATGGAAAGTTATGAGCGTGGAAAATAAATGAATAAATTATCAAAAAAAAATGGTGTTAAGTGAATATATGAATAAGCATAAAATATGCTATCTCGTGTATTCCTTTTCTGCGCTTTCTTTTGCTTGAATTTATATTTTTTCAACTCATCACAAACAAGACCATCAAAGTTGAATAATCATCCCAAAGAAACAACGCATGGCAAAAGATAGAATCGACTATAAAAATTAACAAGAACTCTATTCTGGAAAAAATGCTTCAGATAAATTTGACTTAAAAGTTTTAAATTGAAGCACAATAATTCTTATACAGAAATGAAATTGAAGCAGTAATGACTATCATACACTCTGATTTACTTGCTGGATGTTTTAGATTTGATAGAACTTATCAATAAATAGCTGTAAGATACTGATGAAATGAAATGGAAATAGATATAAAGAATTTCATTAGATCTTGTGAAATTTGTCAAAGAACTGATAAATAAACTACAAAACAATCTCTACATTCTATTAAAGTTAGACAGCCTTTTGATAAAATTGTAATTGATCTTGTTAGACCTTGCAAAGTAACTAGGAAATGAGATTAGTATATTACTATAGCAATTAATCTATTAACTAAATAATCTGAAGCAAAAGCAATTTCAAACAAAGAAGTGAGTACTATTATTAAATTTATTTTTAAAGAAATAATTTATAGATGTGACTGTCCAAAAGAATTACAATCAGATTAAGAAATTGAATTCATAATACAAATAATTGAAGAACTTATAAGTTTTTATTATCATATTATTCACAAATCAATAAAATAATAGAATATTTTAATTATACTTTATATAGAATACTTCAAAAATATTGTATTATATTGGATAAATAATGAGATATATATATGTCAGCAGTATTATTTATATATAAAACACTTTGAAATAATATTATGAAATATAAATTATTCTTTTTAACTTATAATAAAAAAGTCTGTTTATCTATTAATTTAAAATATTTATTACCAGATAAACAAAATAATAATAAAGAAGATGAAATATTAAATCAAATATTCTTTGTTATTCATTATTTGCCTGAAAATATTAATATAGTATAAAATTAAATTCAAGAATAATAATAATAAATAAAAGAAAGATATGACTCAAAATTATAAAAAATTATATAACTTGATATTGATGATAAAGTTTTGATATATAATATAAAATAATATATTTCTTATAAAAAGAAATTTCAATTATAATAAAGTATAAAATAGTTTTATATTTATATTAATAATAGAACTTATAGATTATATGATCAATATAATTAATATTATAAAACTTTTAATGGTACTTAACTAAAATATTACTTTAATAAAAATAATTATTTGAAATTAAGAATAATTATAAAATATATAAAAATACTAATAATAAAAAAAGAAAATAAAAAATAGAATTTTAATTATATAATATTTATTTATTTATCTCTTAATATTATATAAATTTAAAGTAATTATATATGTATATATATAGATCTCTTATTAAAATTTAATTTATAAATAATAAATATTTTCTTTAATATTTTCTTTAAGTTTTTATTATATTTTATTATTTTTAAATTTCTTTAATATATTTTTTAATAATATTTTTATTTAATAATAAATACTCTTCATAATACTTTTAATTTATATTCTTGTTCTTTATCAATAATTAAAAGATAATAAATTTTATAAATCTCTATAACTTAATAAAAATTATTTAATAATTAAAAATAATAATTAAGAAGTTATTTATAATCTTAATAATAATAATTAGTCAAATTTCAATTTAATTTCAAATATACTTAGAGAACTGAAATTAATTATAAAAAAATTTCAATTCAGTTAAATAAATTATAAAATAATAAATAAGTAGATTAACTTATAAAAATTATTAATATTAAAGTTTTAAATATAATAATAACAATTAATATTAAATATTAATTTTTATTTAAATAAAATTAAAAGATAAGAATTCAAATTATTTTTTAATAATTTATTTAAAAATAATAATAATTAATTTAATAAATTATAATTTATAAATATTATTATTTTGAATAATTATTAAATAAAGTTCAAGATAATATTTTTAAAAAACTCAAAAATTATAATGAAAATTAGTCTATTTAAAAAAAATTATTTTGATTAGAAGTTATTTCTTATTTAAAAAAAGAATTTATTAATTATTATAAAAATATAAACTTGAAAAGTTTATAATTTTTAATAAATTCTTTATAATAATTTATATTATTATAAAAAAGAAAAAATTAAAAAAATTTTAAAAAGAATTTTAATTAATCTTATTAAAGTTTATTTTTTTTCTAATTAAGTATTTTATTATTCTTTATTCTAATTAAAGATTATAATATTTTTCTTGAAACTAATTTTAATATTAATTTTATTTAACTAGTTAATTTTTATAATTAAATTATAGATTCAAGCTTTAGTTATATTTATTTTTATTAAATTATAATTCTATTAATAATAATAAAAAATTTATAAGATTATTTAAAATATCTATTAATATTAAATATAAAAATATTAAACTTTTATTAAATTTTATTTTAAGTTATTTTAGAAATTTAATACTAATAACAAATATTTCAGTATTAATAATTAAATCTATAAAATTTTATAAATTTTAACTTTATATCAGACTAAAGTAATTTAAATTTTTTGAATAAATATTACTTTTCATTTTAATTTTTTCTGGAATTTCTTTTTCATTTCTTTTGATATTTAAATTTATTATTTTGATAAGATCTTAATTAGTTAGATAATAATAATATTAGCTTTCTGAAATGTCAAATCTTTAAGTATATTATAATTTTTGCTTTTTTTACAAGAATAGATAAATAAGTTCTTTCTTTCTTTATTTCTTTTTCTTCAAGTTGATTTTATTTTTTTCAAAAACTTCAAATAATAATAAGATAACTTTATTATTTTTTTCATTTTCTTTATTATTTTTGATTATTCTAGCATATTTTTTCTTTGGCTAAATAATTATAAGTTATTAGTAATAAGAAATTAGATTATATAGAAAAGTTACTTGAGTAATTATTAGTAATATTACTATTAAATTCTAAATTTAAGTAAAAAGAGAAGTAGTATTAATATTTTAAAAATTATTGGATTACTAATAAATATTCTGAGTTTACTAATTATTATTATTGTTATTAATATTCTAATTTTGATTATTTTAATTTCAAGAGTTATTCTAATTATTATTTTATAAATTTTCAGATATAGAAACTATTAGATATATTTTACTAATATAATTTTTATCTTCATAATTATAACAGATAATATCAGATTTGTTTTTTAGCTAATTTATTACTAATTATTATTATTATTCTAAATATTATATTTTTTATCAAATTCTATATGATTTAATTTACTGATTAGATTTTGTAAAATCTTAGCAAGAATATTCTATTTATTAGTTAATTAAGCTTGAGTTAAATGATAAGTTTATTTAAGAGAATTATAATTAACTTTTTTAATATTTTTTATAGTTTTAATAATATTTTCTATAAAGTTTTTGATATTAAGATTAATTTATTTTCAAATTTCAAATTTAAGATCTTTTTTGAAAATTCAAATTTTATATTTTTCTAAATATATTTTCTCTAGATCTATTTTATTTTCAAGTTTTATAAATTAATTTATATATTTTTTAATAGTTTTAATTTATTTAAGAGATTTTAATTTATTTTACTATTATTATGTCTTATAAAATGAATAAAATTTATAAATAAAATAATAAATAAAGTTATACTTATTATCATGATCTTGATTAGAGATATTATTTTAATTAATTATGACTTGTAATAGCTAATTAAAGAATTATAATTAATTATAATAGTTAATTAGAGAATTATGACCAAGTTATAATATCATCTTTAATCTTAATTAGTCTAATTAGTTAACTTATAATCTGTATTATAATTTTATTAATCAAATCAGATAGTAATTAATTTTTCTAGATATTTTTTTACTATTTTAATCTTTCTTTCATTAATATTTTATTAGCTTTTATAACTACTTTAAAGCTATATTATTACAGCAAATTAGTAAGTGAGGTTTTACTTTAATTCACCTTAATAATATAGGATTGGGAGAGACTGAAATAATTAAAGAATAAAGAGAGGGAAATTAGACTATACTTTTAATAATAATAAAGATTTTTAAGGCCTGTGCCAATATCTATGGATATTGTCTCAAAAAGAATAATAAAATAAATAAATAAATCAAAGAAATTATAAAGATTGACTGAGTGAAGTTACTAGTAATTGATATAATTTAAGATTTGAATTGATTAAATAGCAAGCTATTAATCAAAGAAAATGATAACTAAAGTAAAGATAGAAATAAAATATGTAAATAAAATAATTAAATAAATAAAAAGGGTATGACTTATTTACAGTAAAGATCTTCTACTCTCAAAAATAATAAAACAAAAAGTATGACTTATTTATAGTAAAGATCTTTTACTCTCAATATCAAAAATTAAAAATCAATATAATATTA